TTCAGCACATTGAAATGTTATGCAAATGATGGTTTGGTTTTCCTAGCAGACATTTTAATTAATGACGAGGTTAGATGGGTTTGAGTACTTAGCCAAGGCTGTCTAAAACCCTCTAGATGTTTTTTGTACTTTTTAGCGTTGCCCAGTTGTAATTGTGTAGCTCAAATGGAGGAATGAGGAAAGGAGAAAATAGAAATCCGGGCAAGTGGAGAATGGCAATGCTGGTGGTTTCATCTATCAGTAGTCTTCAGTAGCACAGACATAGTCCTTTACTGATATGCTTGTATTTAAATAACTGTAAATAAAAGCATTTATAGAAATGTTGCATAGTCCATAGCTCAGGTAGTTCCTGAGAGCCTGAAGGGAATAAAATGAATCTTTTGCTTTCTAATTGTCAAATATTTTATTGTGATACCAGGCTAACAAAATAACTTTGTTTTTCAGGTGACCTGGGAGTAAACAGTGGAGAAGAGCTTCAGCTCACCACCACCATCACCCACGTGGATGGGCCAACGGAGGTTTATAAGCTGGCTCGCAAGGACGCTCAGGAGTAATGCTGAGATGGCCTCAGCTGGGACCCAGACTGGGGTGGAGAGCAGAGGACAACACAACACCCTCTGGGAGGAGACCTCTGTGACCTAACTTGCTTCTCGAGCACCCCATATCTAGTGTATTTTCACAGAGCAGTGACACCGAGCAGAACATTTGTAAACTCTTTAATATGGTGTAGTTATTTCTGGGGGGAGGGATATGTATATTGTGTTACTCTCAAGCACGTAAAAACCTGCTAGAAAAGCATTAAGGTTGCAAAGTCGCACATTTAGAAGTTAGGAAGGGGCAGAGCTGACATTGGGAAGTTTTTATTTGGCTACCGTGTGCCTGTGCATAAAGGTGGTGCAGGGAGCTCAGCTGGTGGGCACGTATTCAGTACTTCAAGTTTTCTTCTTGTGTGCAACTTCAAACAAGGTGTTGGTTGGGGGGGAAATGAAGCTTCATTTTAAAAACATTTAATTCCACCATCTGTAATTGTATTGAACCTTGTTTGATGTCTTTAGTACAGCCCTGCAACTCCGCAACAAACCTCTGTCACTTGAATGAAACACAGCTGGGGAAGGGAGTAGACTGTAATATATAAGATATAGCAGAAGCAGCAACATGTTTTCTCAGTAGGTTTTAGAGCTGTTTGTTAAATATAGGGGAATGTAAAAACTGAATGCCTGAGCTGAGTTGCAGGAGAAAGGAGTGCTCCTGTCCTGAGCTACCAGAGGTAGCAGTCTTGCAGCCAGCTCCTGCCTATTCTCAGCCCCTTTGGCTTCCCTTGCTTTTGTTGTCCTCCTCCATCTTTTTTGTTACGGCTTCTTCATTTTTATGCTGCTTTTGTGCCATGGGGAGAAGAGAAAGGCCACGGGAGGGATGGTGCATTCTCAGTTCCCGCGCTTGTGAGCCAGGCAATCCTGCTCCTCCTTCCACTGCCAGGATGGAGCATGCTTGGCAGAGCTGGGTTCTTCCAGGGATTATCGGACTTGAAAAAAATCCGCTTGTCATGCACTAATGTGGATATTTGCTTTTCAGAGCAAAAGCAGACAATGAGGTCACTCACCCCCATGCTGCGCCTGGGTGGGTCTGGCTGTGAGACTGTTGGCAGTGCGAGGGGACTGGGAACTGATCTGGGGTGGAGGCTTAAACTGGACCGTGCTGGGGACCAGTTAAGAGAAGTGTTAATGGTGTGTGCGGGAAGAAGCATGGCCAGAAGGGTCTGTGTTGTTCAGGGCACACCTTCCAGGGCCTGGAAGATCTAGAGGGCCTTGTTAGCTGGCACTAGTAAATATCTGTGTTAACTACTAGTAAGTGTAACTCAGTCTCCCAGTTTTGTCCCTAAAAGATAAGAACCTGCTGCTGCTGTTTGTTGCTGAAGGGTCAGAGATTAGGGAGAGAGGGGAAGCTTCCAAAGCTGCTGACAGGCAGTCATCGCGGGTCAGGTACTGGTAGAAGCGCTGTCCTGGAAAAAGGGACACATTGTCCTTGGATTCTTAAAACTTCTGAAATTGCACATCAATTGTTAGAGTATTAAGGCTGCAAAATGAAAGTATAATTGGGACATACCAGAAGTGAGATCACCTATGAAACCTTAATCCATCTCTAGCCAATGTATGCATTATGACATGCAATTAAAGCTCATTGCATGCTGGCTTTTCAGTCACATTCAGGATTGTATGAGAGTTTGGGGCTCTGGGCAGGAGCTGAGGCTATGCAGCTAGGGCTCTGGTTTGCACCAGGAGGTGCTGGTTCATCCCGATTCCCACCCCAGCAAACAGCTGCCTGTCCCTGGCTGCCCCGTGCACCCGCTCTGCTGTTTGCACGGGGCTGCAGCTCCAGGCGGCCAGCTCAGTTCGGCTCTAACCATCCCTGTCACCATTTCAAGCATGTTAGTAACCAAATACAGCACCAACTTTCCTTGCCTTTTGCTTTCCTTTCCCCATGTTTTTTGAGCCAAGTCAATACTTCAGCTGGGGTAAGGCATTCAAATAGTTCCTCCTTATTTTCCCAGTCCACCAGGGAATGGGGTCAGAAGGCTCAGCTGCGTGCCCCGTCTCCTCACCAGCCTTTCCCCAGAAGGGATTTCTCACTGGGGCTGCTGACTGCGTCAAACGAGTCGCACCAGGAGGTGCTGGGCTGTTATGATCTGGCCGGTAAGAACGGCACTCTGTAAAGTAGCATTTAAAATACCATTTATTAGAGCTCAACACTGTGAAGAAAGAGACGGTAACATAGATAAACTTGCATCCTTTTGGTTGCTGGGAACCTCAAGTTGTGCACCATCGGACGGGTCTCCGACCAGGGTGCGGCATGCCGGGCAGACCCTGTCTGCAGAAGGGCTGCTCAGTTTTTCTTAATTGGAGCTACTATAGGATTTTCTTAAAAGAAAGCAATTCTGTTCATTGTTCTGTTCGCCCTCACTGGGATCCCCAGCTCCCCCCGCCCCTGGCAGCGTCTCAGCCGAGACACAGGGTCAGAGCTGAGGAGCGCTGAATGCATCGCTCCGGGTGAAGTCACTCGTGTGCTGCTATGTCTGAGCGTGTGAAGTCACTGTAGCACAGAAAAAGTGCTGAACATTACTTAAGGAGGTAGCTTTGGGTGATTTTGGATACTTGAACTGGAACACTAATAATTTTTTGTAAGTTTGGGTTTTTTTTTGTAAAGTGGGATGACAATGCCCCTTTACTGGAAGGAAATGTGGTTTAAAAGGAAAAAAAAATAACAAAGAAAAAGAAGGGGGCATACTTACTGTATGTGGAATAAGTGCTGGGACCGCACCTTCAACACGGGTGGCAAAATGTAACTTGTTAGCAATTTACATTAGGAAAGTAAGTGCTAGTAGGTCCAAGCAAAGTTCCTACTTGCAGTAGTTGTTCCATTACAAAGTGAATTAAATTAACGCACACCATCATAACTCTGGCATGTTCCTGGCTGAGTGCTTGACTTTGCAACTTTAACATCCTTTTTACCTTGGGTTCTTACGTGATATTTATGTTGTTCCGATAGATGTGTCCATGGTTTCTTTTACAGCTTAGTATAGCATTGCATTTTGTAAAGGCTCCTTACAAATGGGGAATTGCAGCTTTAAAACCAAATTTTGTGTCAAACACTAACAATTTGTTTACGGGGCGTGTGTATGTGTGCGTGTATGTGTGTGTGTGGTTTTTTTATTTCTTAATTCCTAAGCCCTACTCATATGTCTCAGAAATAGTCCCTGGGTCTTATTAAAATATATCCTTTTTTGTTTAGGTTGAGTTCAGTTTTTACAGAATGCTTTAAGCAACCTGGAAAACGTGTAGTTTTGTTAATTTAAATAAAATATACAATATTGTGGATTTGTCGTCGGCCTGGTTCAGTGACTGAGAAATCATAGCTCTTCTGCTGTGATCTTGTTTGCTTTTATTTGGTCTTTTACTTCAGGCACTTGCAAGTCGCACAACGTGTTGCTGGGGAAAATGGTTGACTCATTTGGACAATTTTCTCACGCATCTCTCTCCAAATGCTTCGCAGTGCAGAAACATGGTACTTCAATGCTAATGGGTTTTTGACCTTTAAAACCTTTACTTTAGGACTAATTGTTAGCAGAGCCATCTCTGCCTTGCCTCTGGAGCGCTGGTTGCAGCTCCTGCTGCAGAGGTTACAGCTCCCCTTGCCCATGGGACTGGAGTGTTGAGCTCCCCTCCGTTGGGTTTTCCATAGGGCTCTGTCCCCTGGACCTGCCTGTCCCTGCTCGCCAGCCCTGGAGTTGTCACGGCTTTGCTGTGAACTTTGCATGTTGGCTGTTAGCCCACCGTGACATCAAGATTCGGGTGTCCTCTATCTGCCGCCACATTCAAAGGTGCTGCCTCCCGCTGCTTGGAGCCCACTCTCCCCCACGTCGTCTTTCTCTCTATTATCCAGGAAAAAAAAAAGGTTTCCCAGGACTTGCGCTTAAGGAGTAACGGAAAATTTGATAACAACAGATTAATTTCAATATCAACAGTTTGAAGTTCCCATTGTAATAGGGGCTGCCTTGATAAAATGGCACATGAGAGAGGAACTGGGCTGCTGAGTTTTAGGCAGAGCCTGTGGCTCTGTTTCTGCTGCAGTCTGTGTTGGCTATGGCTTCTCTGCCATGGTGAGAAACTAGGGCTGCTCAAAGACAAACTAGAGGCAGCACAGCACGTTCAGGATCTAATGAATTTCAAAAGAGCAAATTCATGAATTTTAAATAACTGTAAAACCACTGCCACCCTCCTACACGGCTTCTCTTCCCAGGTTTCTTATTTTTAGACTCCTTGCTGGCTGGGGTGCAGCCCTGCCCTGGCAGGCCTTTGCTGCCCTCTGCTGCCAGCAGAACGTGGCTTTCATCCAGATTAGGAAAAAAAAAAAATAAATCCCTCACCTCTAAAAATGTGGGAAATTTGCTTATGTGTAGAAGTTCCTATTACCTGCCAAGTGCTGCTCGGGGTCAGAGCTGTCCCAGGAGCTTCGTGCTTCTGTGCCACTGAGCAAGGACACGGTGGGAACTGGAGAGGAATGGGAAAAACTGCCTAGAAAGTTTCTTTAAGAGGCTATCTGGTATTGCTACGAGCAGCCAAAGCGAGTAGGAGAAGGGAAAAGGGTTACAATGGACCTTTGTGGGTGAGCCGGGGACCACAGTTCTTGAGGTTAGCAAATGGCCTTTGGTTGGGACAGTTTGACTGTTTTTCTTATTAGACAGCTTTCTGTGTTTTTTTAGGACAAGTCTGGGACCAGAGTCTCTTTCTGCTCTAAAACTGATTTGTGACTGAAGAGCAAAGCAAGGAGCTGCAGCAGACTCCAAAGCAGCCTTGCCTGCCATTCCTTTGCTCCCAGTCGTGCCGGCGCAAGGTGAGGCATAAGCGTGCAGCGCTGGGCTGACCTGCCTTCAAACAAACCTCAGCGTTGGGTGACAGTGATGCCCGGAGCTCCCTTTGCTCCCTCCCTCCTGGGGGACCCATCGACAGCAGAGGAGCCATGAGAAGTCTACACTGTGACACTTGCAATGATGTTCTGG